CAAATCCGAGTAAAAAATACTTACCCCAATCCAAATCGTGAAAATTTCCTCCAAGATCGCCCATATCCAAGCTCTATAACTCAAAATGCGATAAAATAATCAAAACCTTCAAAATAGAGCACTTTATAATACTGCTCAATTAAACCCTTCACGGTCGAGGGATCATCTTCGCGATCGCGAAGCATAAAACGGATTTGCCTCGAAGACACCCTACACAAATGCGGCCGAAGGCTCACGATCATGATTCAGGTCTGCACTGACCCTCGCGAACGCGAAGACCTCACGTGAAGGTCAACCATCATGACCTGCCCAGCCTATCTCAACACTACGCAAACGAGTAGTCACAGACGCGAACACAAAGCTTAAAGCTCCAACCATCGCGAACGGGAACGCAAAGAAGACCAGCTCCCATAACATTATGCGATCACGGCTTTTTCTTCGCGATCGCGAGTGTCACGACCCTGAATCCCACCCTCAGGATCGTGATGGTGCCTAACATTTTACCTGCTAGGCAAGCCAACGTTAGCTAAGTTACTTAACCAGATTGAAAAATTCATAATCAAATCATTAACAATAATAAACTGTAATCATTTAAAAATAGACTAATAAAATACTAAATGACGAAGTCTAAACATATCCCAGGATTTGGAGTCACGAATACACGAGCATCTAGAGTATTACAGATAAAGTATGAACAAAATGCAATTGTTTCAAACTAAATAAACAGTAATACATAATGGAAAGGGGACTTTAGGCCTGCGGACGCCAAGCATCTATACCTCATGTCTCCTAAAGTAGCTGAATCCGAGCAGTCTCGCTACGCGCTGCTGGGACCCACACCGATATTTGCACAAAAAGTGCAAAACTGTAGTATGTGTATAACCTACCCCATGTACTCTGTAAGTGCGGAGCCTAACCTCGACGAAGTAGTAACGAGGCTATGTCAAGTCACTTACAAATAATCTGTGCGAAATAATAATAATAGAAAAATAGGAATAGAAATAAAGCAATAAACTCGTATAAACAGACCCGAAGGTCAATTACTAGAGAGCCTGAAATAACAAAGTCTCATATCACAATTCCAAGGATAACTCAACAACCACAAATAATTACAACATATCAAATTCGTTGTGGCGCGCAACCCGATCCTACCACATCATCATCTTTTCATATCATAATCTGTCCTTATTCCTTCATATTATTTTAATACCATTCAATTTCCATTGCGGAGTGCAACCCGATCCCCAAATAATTTCAAATCATCAACATAAATAATTCAACAATATTTACAAAATATCAACATAAAGAATGTGAATGTACATGACAGTAGAGAACCACAAAATAATCGGAGAATATCTAACATCTCAAAATCTCAAACCTTACCAATTCATCAGTACAGTACAATCAAACAACTCACATAAGTGAAACAACATTGCAGAGTGCTTCAAATAATATAAGAACAATAAAAGCATGTAAAACGTCTGACAATTAAAATATACATTTAAGGCAAGTAGAAACATGTAGCAAATAAGCAGAAATCATATGAAGAATGAACAAATTAAGACGAGTAGCAATTAAATAATAAGTAACAAATATAACATAGAAGTCAAATAAAAACATGTACTCCCTCCGTTCCAGTTTATATGAACTTATTTTCTTTTTGGTCCGTTCCAAAAAGAATGACCCCTTTCTAAATTTGGAAACAATTTAGCTTAAACTTACAATTCTACCTTTAGTGAGAAGCTTTTATAACCACACAAATACTCTAGACCACTTTTTAACTTGTTTAGGATTACAAATTCCAAAAGTTTTTATTTTTTCTTAAACTTCGTGTCCAGTAAAACTGGTTCGCATAAATTGGAACGGAGGGAGTAACAACTAGAGCATATAACAAAAGATATCATGAAATAAAAGAAAACATGGAAATAAATATCCAAATCCCGCATGCTAAATCCCATGACGGCGTACATACACGCGTCACCTCGCATATACTACATTTCCCCACGTAATTCACATAACAATTAATTCAACAACTCCTAATTCCCTCAAATCAAGGTTAGACACAACACTTACCGCACTCCGCGAATAAAGCAATCAATCAACCACGACCTTGTGTGTTTGAACAAGCCTCAAAACCAACCAAATCTAGCAAATTATCGATCAAACGATTCAAAACAAGCTGTGAAAACTACCCATTATTGAAAGAGGTTCAATTTTGATCATTTTTGAAAAAGTCAAACCCAGACCCGCTTGGTCAAAACCCGAGATTCAGACCAAAACCCGATTACACGTTCACCCCCGAGCTCCGTTATGTGATTGTTTCGAAATCCGACCTCAATTTGAGGTCTAAATCTCAATTTTACAAATCTTCAATTTCTACCCAAAACCCTAATTTCTACCATGGAAATCCTTAATTTGATGTTGAAATCTCATGAAAAGTAACAGGGAATTGAAAGAAAGTGGATTAGAGTTGCTTCCCAATGGTTTTGGAAAAAATAAATTCTTGAAAAATCGCCTCTAGAATGTTTAAGATTGAGAAATGGTGTAAAATGAGCTAAGTCCTATTTTTTCCTCTTTTACCCAGTTGTAGATGTCACAATTGCGATGTCTTGTTCGCAATTGCGAACACGGCAAATTCAAAGCACATGTCGCAAATGCGAACTGTGCATCAGAAGCCCAGATGTCGCAAATGCGACATTTATCTCGCAAATGCGATCATCTCCCACCCCCTGCTTCACACATGCGTGAAAAGCTTCGCAAATGGGAAGCTGATTCAAGTCACCAGTGATCTCAAATGTGACCCATATCTTCGTAAAAGCGACTATGGCAGTTCGCAAAAGCAAACCCATTCCTCGCAAATGCGAGGTCACCGATCATAGCCCTGCTCGCAAATTCGAACTTTTGTTCACAAAAGTGAGGCTCGCAATTGCGAGATCTGCATCGGACACCAGAAGTTAACTCCACATCAACAGTCCTTACACTATCTAAACTCATCTGAAACGCGTTCGAAACTCACTTGAGACCCATCGGGCTCCAAACAAAACATGCACACATGTGTAATAACATCATACAAACTCAATTGCAAGTTCAAAATACTAAAATAACATCTAAACTACAAATCGAACATCAAAACGAATGAAATTTCAAAGGGAAACTAAAGAACAACTAGAATCACAATTGAGCATCCGAATCATATCAAACTACTCCGAATTGCACCAAATTTTGCAGACAAGTTTCACATAGAAAAATGGACCTATACCAAGTCCAAAAATCAAAATCCGAACCCGATAGCCATGAAGTTAACCTACAGTCAAACCTAAAAAATTTCCAAACTTTCAAATTACTAGCTTTCGGCAAAATAAGTCAAATCAATCTGGGGACCTCCGAATTCAATTTCTAGCATATGCCTAGTAAATAATCACAATACCGACCTACCGGAATCGTCAAAATACCGATCCAGGATTGTTTACACAAAATGTTGACTGTAGTTAACACAAGTTGTTTTTAAAGCCAAAAATCATAATTCTTCAAAATTTTACGTAAATATTTTATGGAAAAAGATACGGACTGTGCACACAAATCGAGAAACATCAAATGAAGCTAAAAGAGGTCTCGAAACATGAAGATAAGGGCTAGTACTCAAAAATAACCTAACGGGTCACAACAAAGAACACCCGAAAACTCAAAACTAGCAGAGACCAGCAATACCAACAAGAGACAAAAAGGTTTGAAACCACTCTGAAACTCGCCTGAGCCCCTCGAGACCCCGTCCGAACATACCGATAAATTCCAAAATATGACATGGACCTACTCGAGGCCTCAAAGTTAAAGTTAAGAAGAAGTTTGATATGGCATTAAAAAAACCTATATAGATAGTCTATGCAGTATTTCACAAGTAAATGCAAAAGTTACTTAATATTTATCATTTCAAACAATAGATACTAACTTTAAATTGTGATAATTCGAAGAAAATTGAAATGTACGAGATAGTAATACTTGAAGATGCACTACACAAAAATATTATGGCTCTACATAATGTATTTGTGTTAGTTGATTTGGAAGGCATACTTGTCATACTACATAAAATAACAATAATGAACTTACCACACCAAAAGAATATAATCTACATGTAAATTGACATAAAGGTATGCTCTATTACAATATTGAATTTTACATGATACTAAAAACTTATGTATTAACCAAGTGTGGCATCACGTAAGGTAACAATAGGGCAATAAAATTTGTGGCATGTAGAACTACGACAAACAATTTTATGTATCATTCTCATAAATAACACATTAACTTTTACACTATATTACATTCAATCATTAACAAGTACACGAGTGAACAAACATCTTAAAAGCTAATGAGATCTGTGAAAAAAATATACACATTTGCTTTATGCTTGCAATTTGAAAGACTACAAATATGTTCTTGGTATGTGTTCATCCTCAATGGCATTTGAACCAATATTTCGATGGTCAAATTTGGTCGGATTTTTGTGATTCTTGATTCTACGGATTCCTCAGTTAGTCTACTATCAAATCATACAAAAAAACTGGAGTTTTATGCAAAGATTTTCCCTAAAATGAGTAAACACCACAAAACACTCCAAGAAAATCATTGAAATGACACCTTGTTGTTCCACACGAATTATCTCACAGGTTTCTCATCCAAAAATTTAAAATAAATACTCTAAAGAAAGGTTACGAAATTCCCTACAAGTAGAAAAAAATTTCACTCAAATCCATTAAGTATATCTCAAGTTATGCCCAGATTAATTGAGCATAGAAGCACACCTCCACCAACTTGAAAATGCATCCCATTCTGAATCCCAATCCATGTCCTAATCTCCTACAGGTCAAAGCCGTTGATAAAATTACATCCGACGGCTTAAATTTAAAATTTCCGCAAGGCATGAATCCGCGTCAAAAGGCTATCAACCAATCAGATTTCAGCTTTCGGATATGAAGTCCTTTTACTCTTACTATATAAATCTTCTCATTTTCATCATAGACTCACATCAAAGAGAGTAATCCCAGTAGATTCTACACACAAGCAGATCCATTTCTTCATTTCTCCCCTTTCATTCTTCGCTAAACCCTAACCCTAGTTCTCTCCATTCCCATTTCTCTGCTTCGAAAATGGCCTCCACTGAAGAACCAGTTGTTGCAAACGAGGTTGCAGTTGAACCCGCCGCTCCTGAACCGGTCATGGAGGAGGAGAATAACCCTCCAGCCAAGCCTGAAACTTCCAAGAAAGAGCCTAAGGCTAAAAAACCCGCTGCCCCCAGGAAGAAGACCGCTTCCGCTCATCCTCCTTACTTTGAGGTAATTGATAATGGAGCTTCTCATTTATTTTCATTTTTCAGTTTTGTTAATGTATGTTTTTGGTTTGGTTGAATTATGCTTTGAAGTTAACTTTTTTGTTGTTGTTGTTGCAGATGATTAGCGATGCGATTGTGACATTGAAGGAGAGAACTGGATCAAGCCAGTACGCTATAACTAAGTTCATTGAGGATAAGCAGAAGAATCTTCCACCGAATTTCAAAAAGCTGTTGCTGAATCAATTGAAGAAGTTTGTTGCTTCTGGTAAGCTGGTGAAAGTCAAGAGCTCCTACAAGCTTCCATCGGCTCGTTCTGCTGCTGCGGCTTCTAAGCCGGCCGCCGCTGCTGCTCCGGCGAAGAAGAAGACTGCTGTAGCTGCTAAGTCAAAGGCAGCCAAGGCCAAGCCCTCTGCAAAGCCCAAAGCTGCTGCGAAGCCCAAGGCGAAGCCCGCTGCAAAGGCGAAGCCCGCTGCAAAGGCGAAGCCCGCTGCAAAGGCAAAGCCCGCTGCAAAGGCGAAGCCCGCTGCAAAGACGAAACCCGCTGCAAAGGCGAAGCCCGCTGCTAAGGCAAAACCCGCTGCCAAGCCTAAGCCTGCTGCCAAGGCTAAGCCCGCTGCTAAGCCCAAGCCCAAAGCGACTGTTGCTGCTAAGCCTAAAGCTACTCCTGTGAAGGCAAAGGCGGCGCCTAAGCCAAAGGCTAAGGAGACGAAGCCAGTTAAGGTTGCGAGGACAGCTACCAGGACGACTCCAAGTCGGAAAGCAGCACCTAAGGCGACGCCAGCCAAAAAGGAGCCAGCGAAGAAGACACCTGCTAGAAGCGTGAAGTCGCCAGCGAAGGCCTCCACGAGGAGAGGGGGAAGGAAGTGAGAGAGCAGGAATGGAGGATTTGTTTGTGTAGGGGTAGTCCTGTAAATTTCCTGAATCTTGGTGGGTAATTTGGGTATTTTGCCCTTTGGGAAGCTATAGACAATCGGGTTTTAATTTTTTCTTCTTTTTTTTTTTGGTTCTTCGTCTACAATGTTAGATTTCTTTTTTCTTTTTAATTCCCTGTAGGCATTTGAAACAACAGTTCTACTGTACTGATATGTCATTTGTAGTTATGAGATGGTTGGAGTTTATGCCTTATGCTTATAAATTATTGTTCTCGTTCTTATTTCGTATGAATTGATTTAGGGTTCTTTTTTTCCCGAGTATGTAAAAAAGGGTCAAAACGTGAATCAACGATTCCACTAACGTAGAAGCGGTGTCTTTTGCACGCAAGTGCTTTAGTTGCATTATCACGTAACAAATTTTATCAAAACTCTTCTTTGCCTAGAGTAGTGAACACGCATTTGGTCACTATCTTTTTGCATAAACCAGGGTTATTACTACTAGCTTAGAAGCTCTATTTTTGTTGACGTTCATTTTACTTCTTGTTGTCCCTGGTATTCAGCATTGGTAATCAGGAGCTTGTATTGTTCTACATTCATACCTTGGTTTCCATTTTGCATATACCAAATTAGCAACTATTTAATTTTGAATAGCATTTGTTTGTGCTTCGTTGAGGTGAACAATCACTCAAGGTGCTCATTTATAGTCAAACGTCAATATTTTCATGCCAAAAGATTCTATATCTGTGGCATATGGCTAATCTAGATTGATTGGGGCATGTGGCTAATCTAAGACTTATTAAAAGCACAATAGTTAAAATGTTAAATTAACCTTGAATGCTGTAAGCAGCCAAGTCTAAATGTGCAATCACGCTCTTTGCTTTCTGGGAAATATCATGCACACATTTTGAATTCGAGAAAACTATAAGAATAAGAAAGTCCAATCAAGAGATTCTTTGCCTAAAGCTTGGGCCAATTCTGAGACTACTCTTTGTAAAATGGTGAATGTGGCTCTTCGCCTAAAGCTTTTATGTGACTACTCTTTGAAAGATGGTGATGTTTTTGGCTGCTGCTACAGATGATTAAGCAAGTAATTGTTTGCCAATCTTCTCATTCGCTGCTTGAAAACTCAGGTTTGTCTTAATGAAGTGTTTGGGATTCACTTTGATGTCTTGTATATGCTGACCATATGCCAGGGAGATACTAATTGTTTTGGATGAATTGTGTAGTGATCTAAAACTGATATTTGATTATTTTACTTTCTAAAGCTATCTACTTAGCATAGTTTCAATTAGTCCAAGCTGTGGTGAGATGGTACTGTTCGTCCTGCTAGTCAAAGAAGCAAAGCATAGAGATATTGTGGGATTGTTGAGCAAGGTTAAGGTGCATTCGTTGTGTTTATACCTAGTGGTGAGCAGTAAACTGACATGTCTGCTTAAGCTTATTTCCAATAACTATGTTACAGTTCTCCAGTATGGTAGGATTTACTTTCCTAAAGTGTGTCTTGTTTCTTTGCGATCCTTGGAATCTTGTGGTTTACTTCCATTGCTCGCGCTTTTGTTTTTCTTGGGAAGCTATAGAGAATCGGGTTTAATTGTGTTTTTTTCTTTCTTTTTGAGCCCTTCTTCCACAGTGTTAGATTTTTCTCTCTTTTTAATTCTGTGTAGGAATTTAAAACAGTTCTACTCTGTACTGAAATGTCATTGTAGTAATGACTTATGGATCATTAGTAGAGTTTATGCCCTTATCTCTTTTGTTGATGTTCATTTCTATCCCGCAGATTTCAGAAATAGCTTGTACATTTTTGTTCTCGTTGTCATGTCGTGTGATTTGCAGTACATCATTAAAAAAAGTAGGGTTCTTCTTTTCCTGAGAGATGTGCATTATTTTGAAAAAGCCGGGTTGAGCTAACGTGAACAGACAGTTCCAGTTATGTAGAAGCAGCGTCTTTTGCACGAAAGTGTAGTAGTTACATAACTACGTAACAAATTAACAAACTCTTCTCTGCATTGAGTTGTGCACGCTCATTTGGTTATCCTCTTTGCTTAAAACTGGATTATAACTAGCTTAGAAGGATTTATCTTTTGTTGAAGTTTATAAATTTGTATTTTGTTTCTAGTTGTGTCCTTGGTGTTCAACACTGCTAGTTATATTCAAGCCTTGGTTCCCATAATGCACATAGCAAATTAGTGATTACTTGAAGTGGAATGTAGTCCTGAAAAATTCTTTATACTGTTAATATTTGGTGTAGTAAAGTAAACATGACGCCACATTGCTTTATCAGAATGTTGAACTTTTGTTTGTGCATTATTGAGGTGAACATTCATTTAACGTGCTCATTTAAGACAATATTTTTACGCCAAAAGATTCTATATCTGCCGCTTAAGATTAATCTAAATTGATTGAAGCATAATAATTAAAATGTTAAATTAACCTAAAAGCGGTAAGCAGCCGAGTCTAAACGTGCAATTTCAACCTTTTCTCTCTGGAAAAGATATCCTGCAAAAGTTGAATTCATTGAAACTACATTACTACAAGAACAACAACGTACAATCCAGAGACTTTTTGCCTAAAGCTTTGGTCAATTCTACAACTACTTTCTATAAAGTCGTGAATGTCTTTGGCTGCTGTTGCAGATGATTAGCATGGTGAAGTGAATGATTGTTTGCCAATCTTCTCAATGTGCTGGAATATCAGGTTTTTCTTAATGAAGTGCTAGGGATTCACTTGATGCCTTCTCTATGTTGAAGATACTAAATTTTTGGATGAATTAGGCAGTGACAATGTGATGGATCTGCAACTGATATTTGGTTATTTTACTTCTTATATCTATCTATCTAGCATAGTTTCAGTTAGGTGGACGCTCCGGTGAAGATGGAACTATTCATCTCGGTAGTCAAAGAAGCAAGCGTAGAGATGTTGTGGGACTAATGAGCAAGGTTAAGGTGCATTGATCGTCTTTATACATAGTGGTGACTGGTAAGCAGTAAACTCACATTTCTGCTTAAAAAGCTTATTTTCAAGAACTATGTTATAGCTGTCCAGTATGATAGAATTTACCTTCCAAAAATGTGTTCTGTATCTAGGCAATCCTCAAAATTATGTGCTTCACCTCCATTCTTAGTGCTTTTGATATCTCTTGTAATTGTTTCTGATGGTAGAATGTACAATGATTGAAGTTAGAGAAGCCGCAGTCTGAGGAGAGTATTTCTATAATAACATCTCACTGTTGTGCTTTGTGAACGTTTCATCATGTCCTACTTCTATTCATCATTGTCGTGACTAACTATGTACTCAAGGAAATAGTATTTCTAGTTCTCATAGATGATGTAGATGTATGGATGAATCTTTTATGTTGATATTACCATTTTTACCTAGTCGTTTTATTTATGGTTGAAGAATAGCTTGATATTACCTTTAATGGGCATGCAATGTTAAATGATGAGTCAAATTTGTGTAACTTGAAATTTGTACAGCATTAACTGTGGAACTTTATCAATTAAGTGATCCTGTTTAATGTTATTTAACAGGTCTTGCGCCAATTCACTCAATATGTCTATTTAAGTACTAAATAGAATATCAAGCAGGCTCTTAGTAGACTAGTTACTATAGCCACACAGCATCTTTTTCTTGTCTGACAGTTCAGATGTTGCAGCACTGACACAATTTACAGCTACTCTGCTTCCACTTGAGGCGTCACTTAAGAAATATGCTCCATTAGTTCTTAATTCAATCTTGACAAATTTGGTTATGACTTATGATTATGTTGATATTTCCTGATAATATTCTTATCTCGGCACAACTCATGCATATCATGCTCGTGTATTTGGTGATGGTGTACTATTACCTTATGAGGGTGAATAACTTGTTTATCTGGGGAACTCTTGCTATGTTTGTTTATGCTCAGCGTTCCTGTCTCCATCTCTCTTTCTATATATTAATTTCTTTATCAACTTATGGAGTTCATTTCAAGTTTTGACAGCTCTTATAATTTTGAAACAATCATCTCACTTTCCAATGTGTTTTACTTCTCACTTTCAGTTCCCAACATCTAATAGATACTATGTCAGAGTACTATGCTAAAGTTTCTAAATATATGTATGATTTAAGTAAGGGACCTCAAGTCACAGCCTCACAGGTAATAATGCAAAACTGAGGGAAATACTGCAAAGGAGATGTCTCATGTTCTTCAGCAGATATGTAACCATTACCCTAAGGTTCAGCCTGATATCATCCTTTTAGTCTTCAATCCCAGGTACTTAAATCAATGAACTTTTCCTTTACACTCTATAAGAGCAGCTATTAAATAAGATTATACCATTTAAGGTGGGCGAACATGAGTGTGATTAGTAGGGACTGTGAATACTACAGTTATTTGATATAAGTAGTTGATAGTTATAATTGTGAAGTGAAATATTACTTAAAACATTCTTCTTAGTGTGGTACACATGTACTTAAAAGAAAATCTGGGTGAATGGCCCTCTTTAGTAAATGTTTTTTGGATAAATATGGTTGTTCCTATATGTAGAATTTAGTGGTGGTGAAATGATTGTTGTTTCCCTTTATGTTTGTTATTCTTTTTAATGTCCTTCATATTTTGGATAAAACTGAAAAGGGAAAGATAGTTGATATATGGTAGTTTTGTTGCACTTGTTCTCTCTGTGTTTTGAATCTTTTTTCCCTCTTGAGGATTACCTGTGTTAGCTCCTTGCTATAAAAAGTGGTCACTGAAGATTCGCATGGGAGATATGGAACTCCTGCATTGTTTTGAGTTTACTATTGCATACATATTCATCATCTTTTCTTATCCAATGAGGGCTTGTAAGTGGTCTCCTTACTTTAGAGCTAACGTAGAATCATCAATAGTCCAGTCCAGATTTCTCTTACAAGTTGATCGCTGAGGAAAGATATCTTTGCCCCTTGAGCCAATAACAACAACAACAACATACCCAGTATTATCCTACACCGTGGGGTCCGGGAAGGGTAGTATGTACGCAGACCTTACCCCTACCTTGTGAGGATAGAGAGGCTGTTTCCAATAGACCCTCGGCTCAGGAACTCCACTTTAAGAGTAGCAGAATTCCACTTAAAAAAACCTTACCTTAAATGTGTCGAAATTGAAGTTATCTCATTCCAATGGTACTTAGTGTTTGTCTCACAATGACAATTAATGATCAATATGCTCAGAGGCTAATTTAGTAACTTCATTGATGGCAAGGAAATCCATGAAGAATTTTTCCTGGTAGAGTGACGGTCAATCTTATACTGTCAATATTTCTTGGGTGGTCACTTGCAGAACCTGAACTTCTCATCTTCACTTTTTTGTTAATTGCTGATTCAGAGGTTTGTAGGCTCGATTCATTAAAGCAGCAAGGAATAGTTGATTATCTAGGTTGAGTAGAGGTCAAATCTTGCTCAAGTGTTGGCTGTTCAACTGGAAATAGCAGATTTAGAAAGAGAAATGGAGATTAACTCTAAATAACTCATAAGCTTATCACTTATTATTGATAGCCTAAGAAGTGCTGAATGCTACTTAAGCTTTTTAGATTACCATTTGCAGTTGCTTTTTTATGCATAACAATACTACAGTTTTATATGGGGTCTAATATAATCAATTTGACAAAGTGGTGTCTATATAAACATATAGTGAGAGAAAGGGGTCAAAAAAGATTGATAAAGTGTACCACTGCCAAGCAATTCTGAAGTTAGTCTTAGGAGTGGGAATATAAGGGAGACCAGAAAATAGTTCATTTTCTCATAAGCTCATCCTTATGCAGAAACCCACAAAATATCTTGCATTAAAAATACCTCTTTTTATAAGTGTGGTATTTGGATCAACTTGCGCACATCTCGACTATTCAGCCGCGTACCTGCTATCTCTCATTAGCACAGGTACAGGGGTAACTCTGCCCAACAAGACTTAAAAGATGGGAAAAAATTGCCTACTATTTTTTGTTTGTGATGATGGGAATGGAACCCTGGTTTCTAAAGTCCGCACTCATTTTATTAACCACTAGGCAACACCCTTAGATGCTGAATTAAATAGATACACAGTAAAAGCAACGAATGAAAGTAGTGGCACAAACATGATTCACCTTGCTGACTTTTGAGTGTGACGCGTTTCGAGCGTAGGAGTTTTATGGGTTTTGAAGTAGCTCACATATGTGATTTATATGATCTTTATCGAGGTAACATTACATTGACTACCACTCTATTTTAACTTTGACAAGGACTAAATGTAAGGATATAAACATATAAGCTAAGTACCATTTGATTGGGCAGAGGGAGTTGGGAGGTTCTAATCAGTAGGTTTTCCTATTATGGTTATTCTTTATTGTGAACCAATTGAGTCCCTCATCGATTGTAAGGAGTATTGGTAATGGATTATAGGTCAAATAGGGTCTCCTAAGTCCTACCTAATAGACTAGTCTTTTGAGTTGAGCTCTCTTGTTCAGCCTATAACATTTGGTATCAGAGCTCACAATCCTTGGCAATGGTGGGAAGGTACTAGATACAGGGAATTGTGTCGTGAAGTAGATGAGTTGAAGGATCAAGTTGTAGCTATGAATGAAAAGCACGGTTAGCTATGAAAAAAGTTTGTCAGATGTTTCTCGCTGTGAACGAAGATCGTAGACCACAATCTGTTGGGGAGGAATCCAATAACAGGGAGAATACCCAGTCCATAGATAATGCTAACTCCCATTATCAGGTGCATTCCAGGTTTTCTCGAATTGATTTTCCGAACTATAATGGTGAAGATGTGTATGGATGGGTGAATTTTTACGAGCAGTTCTTTGGGATTGACGGTACTCCCTTGTATATGAGATGGAAGTTAGCTGCAATTCATTTAAAAGGGAGGGCACTGCAATAACATCATTTGTATCTCAAGTCAGGACTCTCTAGTGAACTTCCTACTTGAACTGATTACACAAGAGCAGTGTACCACAGATTTGGAATTGCAACGTATGAAGACCCTGTGGCAGATTTGATGAGTTTAAGACAAAAGATAGCTGTGCAAGATTTGTTAGACCATTTCGGTGAGCTCTTGAATTCTGTGGAGCTGTCTGAAGATTACTCAGATCAACTGTTTTCTATCAAGTCTCTTCAAGTGTGATTGTTGGCACCTCGTACCCTCATGAAGGCTTATATAGTTAGCTCAACTAGTTGAAAAGTCCCTTGATCTGCAGAAGGTTCAGATGCCATCCCTAGTTAGGAGGTAGTTCTGCCCCTACAACCTCTCTTTCTTCCATATACTCCAAGCATGTACTACCAAATCCAACAAGTGGATCAAGAATTGTTGGAAGGAACACTAGGATGCTATCTATCTATGAGTTGAATGAAAGAAGATTAAAGGACTTTGTTAGCACTATAATGAAATGTTATTTTAAAAAAAAGTCAATTCAGGAAATGCCAGAATCATGTGTGATCAGGCCTAGCAGTAGCCCTTATTCTTTCCCAATTGTGATGTGTTAATAAGAAAGATGGCGCATGGAGAATGTGTATTAAATAAGCACAAAATTAAGAATGAATTTCCTATCATAGCGATAGATGAGTTCTTAGATGATTTAGAGGGTCAGTTCGTCTCTAAGTTGGACCCAAGATCAGGATATCATCAAATTAGAGAAGGCCTTGACAGTCTTGCAATCTTATCGCGTTTTTGTGTAGAAGTGCTCATTTGGCGGAAAAAGGTGGAGTACTTGATGATGTAATCAATGTAGAAGCTCCTTTAGCTGATTCCAAGAAGATTGCAGCAACAAAGAATTGGCCTATACCTAGAAATGTGAATGAGCTTAGGGGATTTCTAGCACTAACAGTAACAGGCTGCTAAAGGAGATATATCAGAGGGTACAGATTGTTGTTCAAGCCTATTACTGATTTGTTGAAGGGTACAACTTCAATATTCAACTTGTAAGTCAGGTTCTTCAGAACTTTAATTTAGAGATATGGGCATCTCTCATTAAGCCTGTCATCTATTTTGATGTTCATGTGCAACAAGCTTAACATACACAGATTATTGTGTATTTAGCTTTTCAGATTTATCATGTGACAGGAAGATATGTAGTTATGGAGTCTTGCTCTAGCACCGGTAGTATTGTGTTAGTCATCTTAAAGAGTCAGTGGTGTTCAGTAGTCATACTTGGTGTACTTATGAGTGTTTCTGTGTACAAGTCACTTCTGCTCCTTTTTTCTTTATAGTTCATGATATTTTTTTGTCCATTGGATCTAAAGTTGTAAATGTATGGGGTAAAATTGGTTGATAACATGTGGTCTACTGGTAAAATGATACGTGGAACCAGAGATAGGCAAATGACGAATCGGGAAAAAACTAATCTTGAATACGTCGTGTGTGACCGGTACCGGATGGATTACGAAGGGGACGTAGCCGGCAGTAGAAGTTCGAAGATTCCCCATCAGACAACATTCAATGAGGCAATATTTGCTAGCGTTAAATTAGCAACCGTTACAGAGAATATTTGCATTCAAGGCCTGCCGTTATATATTCATCAATGACACCTTTATTCTCATTAAAAAGGAGCTTGATCCTAGGATATAAATAGCGGGGTTAACAACCATTGTAAGGACACGAAACATTCTACCCACAAAAGCTATACTTTACTATTTTTATCTCAATTTAACAGCTTTATCATCGCATTATCACTATTTTTCACTTATGCTCTAGGAAGAATCGAGTTCGGAACCAGACTTGTTATCTTCTTTAATTTCAGTCGTTAAATCTTAATTTTAGTTTTATTCTCTTATCATTGTTTGGATCAAATTGGTTTGCTTGTCTATAAACCATGTAATAAATTTAACTGTATCGTTTTATGGATAAACAGTTTGGCGTCCACCATGGGGCATAGGCTACTGCATAATCACTTTGGTCCATTCGTTTATTACTAACAAGTTATGGTTCTTTCCTTTGTAAAAACCAGTTATGGCAGCCAATGACGGAGTAAAAACCAGTTATGGCAGCCAATGACGTAGTAAAAACCAGTTATGGCAGCCAATGACGTCAACCACACACACAATGTTGAAGCACGCGTTGAACCGGGAGAACTATCCCAGCGAGATGACTCAATCAGCCAGACCTGCAACGAAGGGAATGAGACTACCCTGGTTCGTGAAGGTTAGTATCCTCGGCATGTGCGGGAACAAACTCCCGATTATGTGGAGGATGAACATGTCGTAGAGACGGTTAAACTCCTGAGGGAACAATAAAGAGCAATCATGGATCATGATATTAGGCTATATAGATGATATTTACACCTTAATATTGCCATGCTTTATTATTGTTTTATAGGCAAATTGATAACAAAATGCTCTAAATGGTGTTCTTTTGTTTTGCAGGGAATATTCTAAGTGAGGAAGCACTACGGAGTGTTTTGGAGGCAATAATGTGAAGAAAACGCCAAATCAAGAAGTACCCGAGCACAAAGAAGCAAAACTGGAGTAAGTAAAAATCCACCGCGACCGCGGTGGAACCGCGCTGGATCAAATACTCGCGGCAGAATGTTTAGCGTTCACCGCGGTCGAGCCGCGGTCTTGCCGCGACCGCGGTGCACTGTTCACTCGCCAGGAATTTGGGGACCAAAGTGTAAATTCGGGAAAACTTGTGCCAAACCCTTATAAACTTTAGGAACTCGCCCAAGATTGTTTTTAAGCTTGTTTTTAGACTACTTTGGAGGCTAGAACAAGTGTGACAAGAGTAACAAAACATTAGAATTCTTCTATCTTCTTTTGATTATTTCTATTACCCATTATGAATAATTTAGTAGTTTTATCTTGTTTTGTCATGAGTAGCTAATTTCCTAGTCTAGGGTTTTGATGGAACCTATTGAAGGATGAACTTCTTGTTATGTTAATATATTTTGCCCGGTTTAATCTCTATTTGTTTAACTATGTTCTTATTGTAGTTAATTGACAGGATCCTCAATTAGTTGTGCCTATTTAGTGTGCATAACCCGGGAGAGAGTGCATATTTAGGTAATTCCCAAAGTATATGAGGGATCAATAACCGAGGGTTTAAAGGCGGGATTAGGGATAACGAAGCCTTGGGTGTGATCTAAAGTGAGCTGTAATAAATAAAGCCAGCTAGCGTATCTCGGGAGAGTGCGTCTAGTAAATTATTGTGATTACTCGGGAGAGATTTACGATAATAATAGTGCTCATGATTGATAGAGATGATTAGGCAATTCTATGTGAAGCATAAAACCGGAAGGAATTCCATCAATAGGGAAAATCATAACCTTAGAACCCTCTCTTAATTGTTTACAACTTAATCATATTTAGTTTTCAGCTGCGTATTTACATTCATTCTTAGTTAGTAGAAACATATTCAATTGTTATTCTCAACGTTTGGGAAGTTGATTCCGTGGAATTTAGTAAGTCTAACGAAAGTAATTGATAGATTAATTCCCTTGTGGGTTCGACTCTGGCTAAGATACTCAGATATATTTGCAACGTCCGCGTGTCCTTTTTATAAGGCATAGTTGGGCGAGATCAAATTTTGGCGCCGTTGCCGGGGAATTAACGGTGTTATCAATTACAATTGAAAGAAATACACAAAATTCTTAGTGTAGTTAGTTTTTCCTCTATACCCAATCTATACATTGAAATTAACGTTCTGTTGACTTGGTTATACAGGTGCATGCTAGCAAACTCAACGAGAATGGTGAATGTATTCAAAGCCTTTATCTGATCCCGAGAAAGTTTTTAAGGCCTTGAATCGGCCAACCGAAAAAGCAAACACCAACAAAAACAATTGAACAAATCGAACCAAACATGGGAGATCACGAAGGAAACCCACTTGCACCTATAGCGCGACCGACACCTCTTGTGCCAGAGGGCTACTCTTATGAATGGCACAAACCCACAGCTGAAAATCTTGGCACAAACGATGTGGTCCCGCAGATACATTGCTGCATATCATTTCCAAATCTCGAATTAACATGCTGCACTTTGTTGCAAAACAAGGGACTATTTTCGGGGTCACAAGTCGAGAGAATCCTCAAACAGCACTTTGAAGAATTTCTTGTCAATCAGCAAAACCCAAAGGCACCCCAACGTAACTCAGGAAACAATCAAGCTGTTATTGTTTCCATTCTCAGTGACAGGAGCTGCCCAGACCTGGCTAAACTCACTCCCTATAAATTTCATAACAACTTGGGAGGAGTTAGTCAAGCAATTCCATAACAAATTCCACCCACCCAACAAGACTGCTCAACAAATTGATGAAATTTTAAGTTTTAAACAGAGACCAATGGAGACACTGCATGAAACATGGGAACGCTTCAAAGGGATGCTGGTTATATGTCCGCACCATGGTATTCCAGATCTGATGTTGGGGCAGCGGTTTTACATGGGGTTGTCAGATAGTGTGAAGAACATAGTTGATGCTTCAGCTGGTGGAGCATTTTTGAGCAAAACATGGAGAGATGGCCAGAGTCTGCTTGACAAGATGGCACAGAATTCGGGATGGATAACCAGGAATGCACCTATCACCCCAGTGGTTCACTCAGTGCCCTTAGATCCATCCAACTCTATGGCTGAAAATATGGCCACCTTATTGACACAGATGAGTATACTCACCAAAAAGGTGGAAGAATCAGGGCAGAAGCAGCAGGTACACATTGTAGATACTACCAATGGGGGCTTGTGCACATCTTGCATTAGTCAGCCAATTGGTAACCAGTGGAATGCGGAACATGATCATCATCACTACCCTGAAGACATGAATTATGTGTCTAATTATGGAGGCCAGAGACAGGGTGGTCAAAATTGGGGTCAGCAGCAGCAGCCATACAGGCCAGTCCAACCACAGTTCAACAATGGAAACATGGGAGGTATGAGACCTCCTAATAATATGGCACCTTACCAAAGGCCACAGGGATACAATAATCAGAATCAGCAGCAGGGGTATCATCCTCCTCAGCAGCAGCATGGTGGACGGCAGGAAGATGGGTTTGCTAGACTTGAGGCAATGATGCAGCAGGTTATTGGGTCTAATGCAAAAATTAGTGAGAGAGTAGATGCACATGATTCAGCTATCAAGAATATTGAAGTGCAGATGGGCCAAATTTCGATGTCTCTGAACAATCGTCCTCATGGGACATTACCTGCAGACACCCAGATAAATCCAAAAGATCAAGGCCCGAAGCAGCTGATGGCAGTGAGTCTACGCAATGGCAGAGATTTGGATGTAGAGCAAGAGAGGGCTCGAGAAACCAGACAGGCTGAGACACTCATACCAGTGCCCATTGAGCTGGATGAGTCAACGAAACTGACAGAGGTGACAGTCCAGCCTGCCCAGGAAGAAAATAACATTCAGATTGAGACTGAGAAAGAAGCTGAGACAGCCCGGGAACCAGTGGTTGAGGTGGTAGCTGATAAAGATCAATCCCAAATCATTGGGAAGAAGAGACCTCCTGCACCATTCCCTCAGAGGCTGGCTAAGTACCAAAAAGAGGAGCAGTACAAGAAATTCTTGGAGATGCTGAAACAAATCCAGGTAAATATTCCATTGATAGATGCTTTGAAAGAGATGCCTGGGTATGCAAAAATGATGAAAGACTTAATGTCCCGAAAATTCGATTTCCAAGACTTGGCCACGGTGACTCTTACTCAGACCTGCAGTGCAGTGGTGACTAGACCAATTGCGGAGAAGCTATCTGACCCAGGGAGCTTTACAATTCCCTGCACTATTGGTAATTTTGCTTTCGCTAAGGCACTTTGTGATCTAGGGGCCAGCATAAATCTTATGCCCCTAGCGATTTATAAGAGGCTGGGGATTGGAAGAGCTAGGCCCACCTCTATGTTGTTGCAGCTAGCTGACAGGACTGTAAAAAGACCTTCTGGTATCCTGGATGATGTGTTGATTCAGGTAGGGAAATTTGTGTTCCCTGCAGATTTTGTGATCTTAGACTGTAAGGTGGATGAAGAAATTCCCATAATTTTGGGAAGGCCGTTCTTGGCCACTGGGAGAGCTCTCATTGATTGTGAGACTGGGAGCGCAAGATGAGACTGAACGACGAAGAGATAACATTCAATGTGCAGAAATCTATGAGGCGACCAAGTGAATTCGCCAATTGCTCTCTTATTGATGCCGTGGATGTAATTGTAGAAACTGATGATGAGATGTTGACAATTGAGGACCCCCTGGCTGCATGTCTGATGAATTTAAATGAGGTTAATGGAGAAGAACTGGCAGAATGGGTGTTGGCATTAGAGGGCAGAGGGTTCTGGGATAGAACTCTTGAATTTGAGCCCTTACACTTAGAAAATAGAGAAACTCCTCCAGCTAAGCCATCCATTGAAGAACCACCAAAGCTGGAATTGAAGCTATTGCCAGCCCATCTCAGGTATGAGTTCCTTGGACCTGACTCCACATTACCTGTTATTATCTCATCCAGTTTGTTAGATGTGCAGGCACAACAACTCTTACAGGTACTCAATGAGTGTAAGACTGCCATGGCAGACATTAAGGGGATCAGTCCCGTCCTACTGTATGCATAAAATTCTGCTGGAAGAGGGACACAAACCTTCCAGGGAACATCAAAGAAGGCTGAACCCCAATATGAAGGAAGTAGTGAAGAAAGAAGTATTAAAGTGGTTAGATGCAGGAATCATTTTCCCAATATCTGACAGCAGCTGGGTTAGCCCAGTGCAATGTGTGCCTAAGAAGGGTGGCATGACGGTGATCAAGAACGATAAAAATGAACTAATCTCAACACGAACCGTCATGGGCTGGAGAATCTGCATGGACTACAGAAAGTTAAATCTAGCCACCCGCAAAGACCACTTCCCACTTCCCTTCATTGATCAGATGCTAGACAGATTGGCAGGGAGGTCACACTTCTGTTTTCTAGATGGGTACTCAGGGTACAATCAGATCTCCATTGCACCAGAGGACAGAGAGAAGACCTCCTTCACTTGCCCATATGGCATTTATGCCTTTCGGAGGATGCCCTTTGGCTTATGCAATGCACCCGCCACATTCCAAAGGTGCATGATGGCCATATTCAATGACATGGTAGAGGATATAATGGAGGTATTCATGGATGATTTCTCAGTGGTGGGGAACTCATTTGATGAGTGCCTTATAAATCTGTCTCGTGTGCTGAAACGATGTATTGAGACTAACCTGGTTCTTAATTGGGAGAAGTGCCATTTCATGGTACAAGAGGGCATAGTCTTGGGGCACCGGGTGTCAAGTAAAGGAATTGAGGTGGATCGTGCTAAAGTGGATGTGATAGCAAAGCTGCCCCCTCCAACTTCAGTCAGGGCAATCAGGAGCTTCCTCGGGCATGTCGGTTTTTACCGGAGATTCATAAGAGACTTCTCAAAAAGTGCCAACCCTCTATGTAAGTTGTTAGAAAAAGATCACCCCTTCTTGTTTTCTGATGATGCAGGGTAGCATTCGAGGAGCTGAAAAAGCGGCTGGTCACAGCACCAATCATTGTTGCCCCCGACTGGGAGCAGCCATTTGAACTCATGTGTGATGCCAGTGACTACGCATTGGGGGCAGTGCTGGGACAGCGAAAAGACAAACTAATGCATACAATCTACTATGCAAGTAGAATGCTGAGTGGAGCCCAGCTGAACTACACTGTGACGGAGAAGGAGATGTTGGCGGTGGTGTTTGCCTTCGATAAATTTAGATCATACCTGATTGGCTCTAAGGTAATTGTATACACTGACCATGCAGCTCTCAGGTACTTAATTGAGAAGAAGGAATCTAAACCACGCCTAATTCGTTGGGTGCTGTTAC